AATTAATGGCATGTATAAGATACTTAGTAGAAACAATAACTGGTAGAGCAAAGAGAATGCTATTACTAATGGTGAAAAAGTGGATGTGAAACCTATAATTTAATTAATAAATTTAAATTAGTAATTATTTTTTAAGAAAATTGTTTTTTTAAGAATTAGTTAATGGATGATTTTGTTGAGAAAAGTAAAAAAATTAACATAATTGTGGGATTTGATAAAAAAGTGAATATATGATCTATTGCTAAAAAATGTAGGTATGGGACCTATATTTAAAAATATTAGAAAGTTAGACAATGATAAATGATGTGCAAAGGAATTATCATTGGTAAAAAATTGATTGTGTGACTTATAATTTAACTAGATTTTATACCTGTGTGATATATAGAAATGTTAACCCTCATTTTTTGTTTTAAAGTGAAAGATCTTATTTTAATGAATTCATTTTTTAAAAAATGGATAAATATGTTATAAGATTTTCCTTAATCCAAACAAGTCATACAAATTAATAGGAGTTAAATTACAAGTAAATATCAATTTGATAATTTTATAAAAAAATAGTTTATAGAAGGTGTGAAATAAAATTTTATATGTGGTTATAGATAAATAATTATAATGATAACAATTAACTATATACCTTTATTTCCCTATAATATTTGTGATTGAAAATAGAAATAAATAATTTCTTGTTTTATCATAAAATTTGTTATCCTGTATATGATCATTATATAGGAAGAATTTTATTTTAATTTATGAATTTTTAAATCCATCTAAATTAAAATTCTAAAAGATATAATAATAAAAAAATTCTAAAACATATATATTATTTTAGATTTTTTCCTTTAAATTATATGAACATCTTATTTTATTTTAGTATTGGCTATATATAACAATAGAAGGATAAAAATTAATCCCCATCGAGTGAGGAGGCCACATTTAATACTTGATTATATCTTGAATAAAATTGCTTCCAATACGAGGATATGATACTTTTAGCAATGACAAATATTTAAATAAACTAGGTGCATCACATTATTTGTGGTTTATACAACTAAAATATTTCAAGTAATTTAAATTAAATCTTGTGTAACATTTTTTAATTAATTTTATTTTTATAATAGAATGTACATTTAATTGGTTGCTTTTTCTTTCTCCATTATCATTAATATTAAAAGTAATTTATATTAAATATCATCTAAATGTAATATTTTGATTGGATAGAGAATAAGTGATGTGGTACACCTGATCTACTTAATTATTTCTTGTTAGGAATAAAAAGAAGATAACAATTTGTTTTATTCCTAGATAAGTTATTTTAAAATATGATATCATGTGCATATAAGAAATATAAACAATTTTTATATATAACCCCCACACAAATTAAAATTCAAACAACATAGTCTAGTTAAACAAGTTATTACTTGAAAATATAAATAATCACTTATTTTATTTAAGGATTTCTCATCCTCTTGCCTATAAAAAATGTAAATAACAAAATTTTTTATGTGATTATCTAACTAAGTCAAATTTAAATATTGTTGAGCATAATTTAAATAGCTCCTCTAAAAATAATTTTTACATTTACACAATTTTTTATTATATAATTTTTTACCTCTTCATCAACTTATTTTGTTATATAACTTGTCAATATATTAAAAACATGAATAGAATATTTTATAAACAAAATTTATTATCCTTACACTTTGTTATTAGAATTTAAAAATTTAAAAATTAAATTATAATGTACGTAAACAAAAAATATGTTAAAATATTATCATTAAATATAGATTATAAATCATTCTATTTTATAATTTGTTACCTAATGTATATTTAAAAAATGATGATAAAATTTGCTTCGATAACAATTTAATCTTTCAAGATTGCCTCAATAACAATTTAGTTCCTTAGTGTCAATAACAATTTAATGCTTCGAGTTTATTGTTTGAAGAAAATGTGACATGCTATTAAAATTTGCTAACATGGATAAAAAAATATTGAACTAACAGCCATGTAAATTAATGATAAATTTAAATTGATTTGAAGGCAAATTTGTTTTCATTTACCCATATATAATATGTTATGTCATCAGAATACTTTATATGTTAGATTAATTTAAGGGTGAATTTTTATTTGAAAACCTAAAAGATTAAAGTAACAATTTAAAAAAATGTAAGATATCAAATTAATAAAAATTAAACTTAAGAAAATAAATCAATAATTAAGCAAATTTAAGGGATTTAAAGTTTTATTATCCCTTTAAAAATAAATTTATTCTAAAATTCATTACTCCATGGATATTAAATATATGAACACCAACTTATTCTAGTTTAAAATTTATTATACCGAATAACAAATTAAAAATACATCTTATGCATAAAAATAAGAAATTTATTTTATAAAAATTTTGTTTTATTCTACAATTTATTTTGTTTGCATGTAGACCTAAATTTTAATGGATGTAGACTTGAATTTTTATAATTTGTAAAAATTAAATTTATAATTTTATTATAAGTTTTGAACTTACATTTTCATTATGAGTTTCACACTTAACATTTATAATAAAAAAGTAGATAGTATTGTATGATAAAATATGTTACAATAGTCCCATTTAATTAAAAAATTATTATCGTATTACATGTGACACTTATTAAGTGATAGAATTTATTTTAGTCATAAATTCAAATCTCATATATCTCACCAAATCACTGTAGTTCTATCATAATTCATTAATAAATTTGACTATATGTTTCCTCAATTTTTAAATATAAGAAAAATTTGCACATAGTTTGTTGTTATATTTCATAAGCAAAAAAATAATTTTCATAAATTATTTATGAATTATTTTTCTTAATTACTCTTCATTAAATGATGGTATCATTAAATTAGAAAAAAATAAAATTTTAATCACAAATATATCTTAATCTAAACTTCTCAATTTCAAATATAATTATTAGGATTAGCCAATTTTTTAAACCGTGTGATTATATATAAAAGTGGAATAAGTCAATTGATTTAAATAATAAAATATTTTATTTTATATAATTAATTATTTTATACATATACAAACCTCAAGAAATAAATAATAAATCTCTTACATTTATGAAAAAATATTAGATCACATATATATTATTTTTCATGAGTCTTACGTTTATAAGCATTTTTTACTATGGGTCCCACCTTTTTTTATTTATATATTATATATAATTAATTATCTTATATACATACAAAATACAAGTAACAAATGATAAATCTCCTATATTTACAAAAACATATTAGATCTTATATATGTTATTTTTTTATTACTCTCATATCTACAAACATTTTTTACTATGAGTCCAGCACTTATTTTTTTTATTATAAGTTCCATATAAAATCTTATTATAAAAAACTAAATAAAAAAAGGAAAAAAAACCGTAGCTCTGTGTTGATGAACAGTGCACTTTAAAATATACATGATAAAATTTACTTATATATAAAAGTGAAGCAGAATAAGTTAATTAATTTAAATAATAAAATATTTTATTTTATATTTATTATTTAAATTTATATATTGTATATAATTAATTATCTTATACATATATAAACTACAAGTAATAAATGATAAATCTCCTACATTTATAAAAAAAAATATTAGATCTCTTATGTATTATTTTTTTGAGTCTCATATCTACAAGCATTTTTTATTTTGGGTCCCACATTTATTTTTTAATTCATATATTGTATATAATTAATTATCTTATACATATATAAACTACAAGCAATAAATGATAAATCTCCTACATTTATAAAAAAAAATATTAGATCTCATATGTATTATTTTTTTGAGTCTCATATCTACAAGCATTTTTTATTTTGGGTCCCACATTTATTTTTTAATTCATATGTTGTATATAATTAATTATCTTATACAAATGCGCACACAGAATACAAGCAACAAATATTTTATTTTAAAATTTGTTATCATGAGTGCAATAAAATTTAAAACAGTGACAATATTTTATTGCAAATCCAACGCTTAACTTTTTACAATTATATTCAGGGGTCGAATGTTCGCCATTATTTTTATAGTAAGTCTCAGTCCAACTTTTTTTTATGCTGATCCTGCATCACTCTTTTTATATATAGTTTTTCTGCCAAAAAAGAAAAAGCCCTGTTTATAAAAAAAATAAAAAAAGAGCCATTCATATACATGATATGTGTGTGTGTGTGTGTATTGATTGATATTGATCTACTGATGGTACTGATCGATCCATGGTATTGATTTTGCTGGGGAAAAAAAAGATATTGATTTTGGCTGTGAAAACATATCCTTAAGTCAAATCCACTTTATAAGCAAGTTTAATTTAAGATAAAACAGCCCATTAGCTAGAAAAAAAAAATCTAGTGCGTATAAAATATGAAGTAAATTTTTAAAAATTTAAAAATTTATAAGAAGTTATCATTAATATATAATATATTATTAAAAAATATAATAAATTAATCATAATATAAAATATAATAAATATTGATTTGTTTACTTAGTCTAGCCTTATGATATGAATTATATATGCAAAAGCGCTCTTAATTTTTTAGCTTAGTCAGCCTCCTTTTCAAACATACGATTATCTAAAATTACACTCAAAGACAATTATTTGTTAAAAGTCGCATTAAAAACTTACTGAAATGCCTTCAAAGAAACAAGGTTTTATAAAAGTTATATTATTTTTTTATTTTGATCAGTTTTGACCCAACCTAATGGGTTTTCAAACACCCACTTTGTCCGCAGTTTAGTTTTCTTCAAATTCAAAACTAAGCTAAATCTTAAGGCCCGTTCATATTGATTCACGGCAAAATCCAATTCGAATAAATCAAACTCTTGAGATTTTGTAATAGGAATTTCGTGAAGCTTTGGCTCATAGACGTACTTTCCTCTTTTACTTGGACCCTGTGGGAAGAAACACGCAAGTTTTCTTTCCTCGTCTTATCCTTTTCTTTTTTAACCCTTGTGGCCGCCAAGTATGTGCATGGTCTCCAGTCTGCGCACTATGAAAACGATTGTGAAGCCTGCTCGTGAGACACGGATGCGGTTGCCGTTCTACCTACTCCCTTCGTCTTTGTATATAAAAAATTTTTTAATTTTTAAATATAAAAGGTTGCCATTACCAACATGTTTTTTTAACTAAAGGGATTATTATACCCTTATTATATTAAAAAGAGAAAAAATAAATATTCTCACTAATTTATTTTAAAATCTTTTTATAACGATTAAGGATGAAACTGAAATGTTACGGTACTTTAAGTAGTTAATCAATTTTTATTAATTTACATGATTTTATTTAAAATATTTTATATATGAAGACCAAGGGGGTACAAATCTCGAGTAACTGGGATTCACTCCACGAAACATCATCACTGTCTTTATTTTTTGGCCCAAGAAACATCCTCATCATCTGAATCCCTTTGGTGACCAGTCAAATCTCATTTTTTCTGCACACCTTTTTGTTTTTCTCTTTTACTAAAGCAAACATAGTTCTAAACAAAAGATTGTGATGTTATTCTGGCGAATAATATTGAACTTTAAAATGTTAATTTAATATTTTTTAGGTTTTAAATTAATTATTCACAACTTTGCACAGTATAATCACTACAATATTTTTCTTATCTTGAAACACTTCAAAAGTATTGTTACAAAATTAAAAAATATTTCTTAAAGAAATAGGTAATAGTTTTCAAATATTTTTAATTTGAGTATTACTAATTACTTTAGGTAACAGATTGTTTTTTTTATCTTTAACCACTTCGTTTGAAAAATTGTTGCCCAAAACCATGAAATGTTGCTTATTACATAAAAAAAGCAACATTTAAAAATTATTGCAAAATAGTTAAAAAGCCAAACATTAATATTTTCTTTCCCAGTTAAGATTTGAATCCTAAACCTCTTGAAAAAAAAAAAACTCTAATCATTCTTCTAAGCAGACTCGTTGATATTATAATGCAAAATATTACACGCACACAATTGTTACATTAATTTTTTAATTTATCCAAATAATAAATTTAAAAATTAAGGAAATAAAAAAAGTATATATAAAAATTATACAAATAAATCAAAAATAAATTTTTATGCATAAAAAAATAATAAGCAACAATTTTAAATATTGCCAGAAAAAAATTTATAGGTAACATTTTTATTTTTGTTGCTTATTATAATGAGGAACAGTTTTAAAATGTTGTCATTAAAGAACTTTTACAAGCAACATTTTTTATTTTTGCCTATTCAAAATTTTTATACATTTTTTAAATGTTGCCAAAAGTATATTGTTTAAAATAGGGAATTAATAGCAATATATAAAAACTGTTGCTTAAGACTATATTGAGCAACACTTTTAAAATTGTTGTAAATAAGATTATTGCTTAGAGAAAAAATGTTGTAGTGAATTTATGAATGTATTTATTCATAGTTTGCAACCAAATAATATTTTAGGATTTTCCTGTAACAAGATTGTTTCTAACAACAAAACCACAATTCCCCCATTTTTATTTTCATTCACAGTTTGTAGTTTGCACTTTTATTGAAAATTTTTAATTTAACGTGAGGCGCAGCAATGATGACATAGTGTCTATAAATCTAAACAATCTGACTTGAGTTCTTAACCTGGCACAGCTAGAAAGATTTAGTTAGATATCGATATTATAATTTTTGTATACAATATAAAATTTATGAGTATTCATGTTATTTATGATAACTTATTTTAAAAAAAATCAAATAAGCATTAACTAAATTTGAATTCATATTAATAGAAACTTTAAAATTTATAAAATTTACCATGTAATAAATAAGAAGGAAATGGGAAATAAATCCCTCTAAAATAAGAAAATAATAATTTGATCTTTTAAAATGTAATAATGCCTTTTAAGTTTTAAGAGATCTCATTGTTATTAAAAATTTTTGATAAAATGACAAAAGTATCTTAATTTTAAAAAACAAAAAAAAAAATTTTTGCTCATAATTTTAGGTTTGAAATTAAAAATTCTAATTTAGCAAATGACTAAAGTGATTTGAGTATTTATAACTTTTTCTTATCATTTTTTAAATTAATAAAAAAATAGTAAAGTTTTTTTTCACAAATTTAGTTTAAAAATTCATAATTTTGATTCAATAAATAATTAAAGTGATTTAGATATTTACAATTATATTTTATCATTTTTCTTTAATCAACAGAGTGCAACAAAACTTTATTCACTCACAACTTTAATTTTAGAATTCACAAATTTGGTTCAATAAAAAATAAAATGGTTTGCATATTTACAACTCTTCCTCACCATTTTTTATTTTTTAAAATTAAAAATATTTTTTTATTTTGTAAAAAACTTTAATAATAATTTCATTTTTTAAAATTTACAAGCATTGTCACATTTTATAGAATTAAATTATTATTTTTTTCATTTAAAAAATTTATTTATCATTCTTCCGATGCTTCCCTGACTTCATTCGGAACTAGTAATTTTCACATCACCAAGCAAACGCGGCCGATTGGTTTGCGAGAGGATGGAGACGCAGCGAAGACCTTCCCCTCCCGCGCGAGAGAGACTAGTGGAGATGGTTGGCAAGTGCAAGTATTCGTGCCAGAGTGCTGGCGATACTCTCGCATGGATCCACGCCATCGATACTCTCGCATGGATCCACGCCATCATCGACTCATCGTCCCCTACATCTTCTTAATCAATGCCCATGTCGTCGACTTCTTCAAGGTTCATATCGATAACTCTTTCTTCTACAAACCTCTATTTGGATGCTGAGAAAATGTAGGAAACTGCATGATTTTAGGTATTAGGTCCATATAGAAACAAGCTCACATTTAGTATAGCCTAGTTGCTTGTGAAATTTTATGCTTTGGACGACTGATAATATGATCGATGTGAAAATAATAGCTACTGATGATAATAAAAAAAAGAAATCTATTGGTTGTGCTTAATTCATTTCATAGTAGGCAATATATACCGTTTTTATGCTCTAGTGTGATCAGAATATAATCTTCGTTGTTGTTTGGTTCTACGTTTTGCTTATAATATTACTTCAGGATAGACTCTGGGAGAATGTTGACGAGGAATGGATTGACTGCCTGCGCAGAGAATCTGTTGAAAATCTCCTCCTGATTCCTTCTGGAGTAATACAGGTATGTTCTTGTCACCTCGTTTCGTCTTGCCTCTTAAAAGCAACTTTCGGTTGGCTTACTCTTTGAACAATCTAATTGAGTGGAAAAAAGTCTATGCAATTTGATGTGAACTATATGAGAGGAGTAATTTTTCCCTACCTGTGAGTGAGAACCAAGCAACTATCATTCAAAAGACAGAGGGGAACTCCTCCATTTGTTGCTTCTCTTGTTTCGTAATTGTGTGGAGTGAGGTGGGTGATATAAAGCCTGCACTTCTGGCATTGTCTGTTGTCTTTATCAGGGGCATTTTATTTTAGTCTTATAAACCACTAACTACAGAAGACCCTGTTTTAAAACTTACAGTGTCTGGCAATCACTTAAATTCGGGAATTAGTTCTTATATCACCACTTATTAAGTTAAAATTAGTTCAAACAATTCCTATAAAAAATTTCTTATATTATATGACAAACTTTTTGGTGAAACTAATATTTTTCTTGTTTCTCTCTTTCAGAAATCATTCACTTAAATATAATATGATGTCAAACTTATCTAAATTTGAATTTTGGACAAACCAAGCATAATTGGATATTGTTTCAAATAATATAGATTTGCAGAGTCAGTTTTAATTTAAATGTTTTTGAACCAGTTCTATTATAGCCAATCTTTTTGATGCATTCATTAATTCGTCCATGCCTCCTGGCAATTCAGTGAGCGTTGGGCTTGCCCTCCAAATCGGGAATAATATTATGGGTCCATTATAGAGGTCTGGGGAGTAGCAAGAAGTGAAAAGCTTTGTCTCACTGCGTTTATCTAATTGGATGAAAATGGTATAGATTTTAAACTGAAGCTCTTGTTCTTGCCACTTTCATGGGTTTAAATAATATAGGCAGCTTTTACATTATTCAGACGATCATTAGATATAGTTTCTCTTTGAAAGATATATGGCAAGAATTGTGGGCTTTATCGTGTTGATGTTTTCCTATTCTTGCATCTGTCCTGTCTTCTCTTTGCTTCTTTGGAAGGATGCCTTATACTCTGATTTTGCCATCTTAAATACAATGAACACAGGAGCACTGGCCTACTTCGTTGAAGGTTTTCATCCTAAAATTGCAGTCTATGGTGCTTCATCGAGAACAGGCAGACATGCAAGCAGTATATGATCTTCACCTGGGCATTTCCCTCTGTTTCAATATTTGTGCTAGATCTTGTTTAAATTCGTCTTCTGAGAGTTTCCAAATGTGTACTCCTAGTTAATGATCTTATGTCTTGTTGCAGATATCACCTAGCATGCAGATGACTTCACTTAACAGTGTTCTTGCCCATGGAATGAATTTGAAGAAAAAACATGAAGTAGTTTACTCATTGATGCATTTCTGTTCTTTATGATTTCAGCAGATGTTGATGTGAAACATTGAGAATTTAGAATTCTTTTCTTCTTGAGCAGTGAATTTAGAAGCCTGGAACATTAATATGAATGGAAAATACATGTGCAGGTGGAAATTCTTTCTGCTGTTGTTAGTTCAATAGCAAACAGTGTGAGAGCTCATACCATCATTGATGTTGGTGCTGGTCAGGTGTGGTTTTAACTTCTTTTGCTTATGCTTCTACACATATTTCAGGAAACTGTTTTTAGTCTCATCAAGTTAGAGTCTTCTAGTATAACATTGGCCTTTATGACTAATTTGTCTTGGCCATCATATTAAATTTCAGATTGAGAGGTTCCTAAACCCTAGAAATACTGTATTCACCTAGCTATCTATGTCTCAAAGTCTTAGTTTAAAACTGCAAAATATTAAAGAGTCCAGTTCATGCCCTTGTAGTGTGGCTGGACTGCTCTATTGAACTATACAGTGCTGATGCAGGAGCACAAGATTCATACCTGCTGGGTGCGAGACATGGAAAACATTTTTAAAAGAGCATGTTCTTCTTCTTATTAAATTGTCACTAAAGGGTGGGATTTCCTCTAGATTGCTTTCCCCATGGATGAGGTGCTTAAGTTTTGGATTGCTTGGAACGTGGATCAAAGCAACTTTCTTCTCTGAAAGCCCTAGGTTGTAGCAATAAATCCCATGAAATAGAAAATGAAAGTACATGTATTAGTTCAGTATAAAAATAGCTTTCAATATATTCATAGCTGTGTGCATATCTTTCATTACTGTTGCTCTTTGCTTATCTATATTTTCATCATTCTGTTTTTTTATTCACCTTTTAGGGTTATCTTGCCCAAGTACTTTCCTTTCACTACCAGCATTCTGTTGTTGCAATTGATGCATGCTCACATCATGGAAGTGTTACTGATGCGCGAGCAGAACGAATTAAAAAGTACTATGCATCTCAGATGAGAAAATCTGGGTATGTGTTCCTTTATGTTTTTCTGTAATGCTCTCTTATACTAGGAGTATCTAGTATGCTCTTAAAGATATATATATATAATATATATATATGCATATATGTAGCATCATCAGGAGGCAAGTGACTAGGAAAGAAGTGAACATTATGTATGTGAGGAATTTCTAGCTCATATGCTGTTTAAATTGGATTAGTCATCTCTCTTTTTCTTTCTGGCATGGCAGTAGTTGCATGTAATAAGTTCGTATTTTTAGGAGTGAGTTAGTATAATGAAGACAACTTTAACCTTGTAATTCTTGCTCGAAGTTAATAATTATAGAGCTTTTGATCTATAAAATGA